TCCCCCTCTGTGTCATTAGCAGCAAGTTGCCAACGTGATTGAATTCACACTACACTGAGTTTCTTCCCTAAGGTGTTTGTCATATGTCTCCAGGCTGGCTTCACTTCATATCTGATCAAAGTCATAACATCTATAAAATCACAAAACACACTTTCATCTGTGTGTGTGTGTGTTGGTAATCAGGCAACCACTCATATGCGATTCCCACCCTCCTAATGTAAACATACATCTTTGCCTTCACTTCCTGGTTAGGTAAATATACATAAATCAGCTCTATTGTTGCAGCAGATAAACAGAGAGGCACATTAGGGTCGACCAGGCAGAAAATTGCCAGAGTCAGAGAAACACTTGAGAAGACCATCAACAGAAATGTGTATAAACACAAACAAAAGGCGAACCCAAAAGCAGGAATAAACAAACAAACACAGAGACAAACACATTTGTTCTGCTCCAGTGAATTTGGCTGGTACCACACGCTTGGTTGACACTGGGCCCCATGGTTGTTCAAACCACTTCATTTCAATAAAAAAAAAAAAAAAAGAAAGAAAAACCACAAAATATTTAAAAAAGTAAAATAAAATTAGATTTGATTGAATTTTATGTATTTACTCATGGCTTTCTTCCTCCTTCTCCAGTGAAAGTCGAATCAGCACCATGGCCAGCTCCATCTGTGCTCATTGTGCCTTTATAAGCGATAACTTCTGAAAACAACATTGTTTCACGTAATATTTTCCTTCATAATTGTTTCCTATAAAACAAATAGGTGTAAAGTATAAGTGAGGCTGAGGGTGAGGGTGTAATTGTAAGGCAGCTTGAAGTAACATGTACTGTAGTACCTAAGGAAAGACACTTAAATGAGAAACTACAGTTTACTTCTACTCTTAACATGTTCTCCTGCTTTAAGACAAAAGGTCAGACAGTCAGATATGGTGACATCTATTGGTGACACTGCACTTCCTAACAGTTTCAGTGAACTATTGTACAGAGCTTACTTTTCTACTGCAGTGGATCTAACCTGAAGGAATCCAATCATGGCTTTTCTTTTTCTCAGTTTAATTGTGGTACTGTTTAAGCTCCTGATATCCATAACAGTTCTGCCCAGACTGGATCAATTTCCTCTTCCTGCTTCAGGAACAACTTGCACAGAGGGTTCAATATCTATGACAAATATTATGTGTGTATTGATTAAGGTCTGATAAGTTGATGAAGAGCAGGATGAAGTAAAGTCCTGAGAATCAGTGACATAACATCTTCAATGTAGGAGCAAGAGTTTTTTTTTCTGCATCAGCTGTTCTAAAACAGTTTGACACTGACCTTTTCAGAAAAAGAATTCTACAGCTTTTTCTTTTTTCTTTCTTTCATTCTTCTTTCCTTCTTTCTTTCTTTCCCAAATTCTCACCTAACTTACTTCTTACTATGCTTCCCTTTTCCTTTCTACCTTCATTTCTTTCCTTTTTTCTTCAATTCTTCCTTCCTTGCTTGCTTCTTTGCTTCCTTCATTCTTTTGTTCCTTTCCTTCCCTTCTCACCATTTCCTATTGTTTTCCTTCTTCCATTCCCTTCTTCCTACCTTCATTACTCCTTCTTACCTTGCTTTCTTCCTCCTTCCTTTCCTTTCTTCCATTTGTTACCATTTTCTTCTTTCATTCCCTTCTCCATACCTTCATTAAACCTTCTAACTTTGCGTCATTCATCTTTTCTTCCCATTCTTTTTAATTCCTACTTTCTTACCTTCCTCCCAACCCTCTCTCCCTGCTCTCCTCTTCCTTCCTCCTGTGCTTCCTCCCCTCCTTCTTATTTTCCCCCATCTCTCCATCTGACCTTACACAGTCCCATTTTTAATCTTCCTCTGTTTCCTTCCCTCTACTCCATACATCTTCTCTACCCCGTAAAGCTGACCTCCTTATAGAGTCGGTAAAATGCATGCAGAAGGTCCATGATGCATTGCTGCAGCACAGGGCATTGAGCCACTGCCTTTGTGTGGTAGCCTAGTGTCATTGATAATCATTAGCGGGCTGCACTGGGCTTCAGATGAACAGGAGGTGAATATAGATATGTGGATGTGGGCTTAATTAGAGGATGAATCATTATGAAGAGTGACTTGTTTAGATGCTCGTATGTTTCTGTCAGGAAACCTCGTTGCTAAGGCTAACACCAGCGCAGTTAGCCATGCAGCTGGGCGCCTAACATACATGCTCCCACTGTATCATGGCTCGGACCCTGCATTCATCTCCCCAGCCGTGAGCTTCCCTGTCACGATCCCTCACCCGGAGAGAGAGAGAATAGGGAGTGTGTGAACTTGGGGGAGAGCCCAAGTTCACACACTCCCTATTCCCTCAGCAGGTCAATTAGCAGGAGCCAGACACCTTACAGTTGACTCTTTCGGCTAAATGTGTCAGAAGATGCAGCTTTCTTTTTCTCTGTTGTGAGGATCCAGACACCAGCAGCCCCGGCTCGGAGACTTTAGGGCTGGTGCTGGCACAGAGCAAACCTCCACTCTCCTCCTCTGAGGTTTTTCTGGCTGGAGGAGGTGCAGCCTGCCACTAATAGACTCCACGCTCAGGCACTCATTCTCTGGCTCCCTACAATGTGTGTGTGTTTGCGTGCGCGTGCGTGTGTGTTAATTATTCAAAGTGAATTAAAGCTTAAAGATGTATCTCCAGATGCCTCTGATCGTTGGCATGTTTAATGGAGAGAGACAGATGAGATGAGGAGCGAAAGGTGGAGCATCCGCTATAAAACATGAGGGGAGGAGTGTGGCAGTGGCCTAGTTGTTACACAAGACTCAGTAAGAGTCAGTAAGAGCAAAACATGATACAACTCAATTAGAGCGTTTTCAGAAACAACGGCACACTTCTGTGAAATACGACTGGGAAATTCATATTTATTTCAGCAGGCAAAGAACATAGTATGAAAAAATGAAGTGAGAAATAAAATACAGATCATGATATAGATTTGCTACGATGTACAAACATTCAGTAGAAAAAAAAACTTTTGTTGTTAGGTTACTGAATTCCACTCATTCTGTAGCTCAGAACATCCCACCTGTTGTTCTGCTTCTGGGAGAAGAAAATCCATCAAACACAAACATTGATGAGAAGTAGAAAAGGATCGAAGAGCAAAACACACGGGTCGTGACTCCACCTCCTGCCTTTGTCTCTAAGACGTAAATTCAGTGACTCTCATTCGTCTGATGCTATCTGCTTTACTAACTCACTCGTGGGAGTTTAAAGACCTCACTATTGTTTGCTGAAGCAAATATTTAAATGTCACCACTGATTAGGTTGCAAAGAAACTATTTATTTTATCCAGTTCCACTTTAACCTTTATTATTTTCTATGTCACCACTGCTAAAAACAGAATGAAATTAAATTCTATTTTTGAATCGTATCTTCAACCCAATGCAGGTATAACTATCAACTCTCTCTCTCTCTCTCTCTCTCTCATTTCTCCACGAGCCCACTGGTGGCTTAACAAACCTCACTTCACTTGTTGCCCATGCGTCGCTCAGGCACAGGAGTAATAATATGTAGAAAATTAGTTTAGAAAGAGTTTTGACGATGCACCGCGTCTCAGAGGACAAATAAGACGCCGATCAACCTGCTAAATGATGCACTGAAGAGGAGCAGGAGGGAAATGAAGCTGCAGAGTCAATTTTCTTATGTTTATTCTTTCATGCTAACAGAGAGCTGGTGTCAGTGGAGAGAAGGAAGTTGGTTTTATAATCCTATAAATGCTTTAATACAAATAGAAATGTAATGTCTGAGTACTTCACACATTCAAGGTTCTAGTTCAAGGGGTACTTGATATGCATGGATTCCAATGTTGTGTAAACGCTGCGTGAATACTTAAAAATACTACTGCTATATTACTACAGTATATTAAAAAAACTGTTGACTTATTAAAATACAGACACAATTCAATATTTCTAACTGCAGCTTGAATTCTTAGTGTGACTGCAAGAAATTGTGAGTACTACTGAAAAAGTTTTTACAAAAGTATTAGTTAAAAACTACTTTACTAGATAAATATCCAACTAGCTCAAAAGTAGCAAAATTATTAGCCAAAATATATTACCTTTGGAACAGTGAGACCAAACAATCACCAAAAGATCATCAACTTCAACATAGACAAACCAAAAAATATACACATATATGTTAACAAAAATATTTAACACAATGAAATATGTGCAGTGGTGAGCTACACAAAGCTAATATTAATAATAATAAGTTAATATTGGACTTCCCTAGATAAGAGTACATGTATATTTCC